GCAAATGATCACTGATATATTTGATCGATTTTTAGACACATAGCAAAATTGATAGGCATCATAGGGGGTGGTTTACAATGCTTTAAAGAAACACTTGACAGAAAAAAAAATTAGTACACAATGGTCACCCATTTTCTTTTAAATGAGTGAAAACAACAGCGTGTAAGAATATCTAAACAATTATTTAAAAAAATCAAAAATTGAAGTTATCAACGTTTGCCTGAACTTCAAACAGATAGTGAAACTTGATCTCATTGCTTTAAACCCTCAAAACAAATTTACAATAAGATGCACTTGACAAGAACAGCCAATGTCTGAAAAAAGCAACGAATTTCAAAAGCACAAAAATAGTTTTATGTTTCATTTTCTTAAATATTAGTTGCCTTGTTATTCAAATTCTTATTCTGTGAGGCAGTTCAATATCTGGAGAAGTCTTAAAAGCAAATTTTGCAAAAATAATTGAAAGGTTTTTAGAGAGGATGGATCCAGAACCAAGAATCCACTACTTTTGAAAAGATGTCTGTTATAACCAGTTTTATTTCACAGTATTCAAAATAAAATGCTGATCTCTGTGTTCATTGTAATAGCTATTGGTCGCATGCAGGTTAAGGTGTTATATTTTGTTGCAGTAAAATACTCAAAACTTGTTGACATAAATTTAAAAACTCAACAACAACAAAATTGTTTTCTACATATATGCATCACCTGAAAAAATCTGATATTTTCATTGTTTAACAGAACAGACAAGAAAAGGATGCCAGTCCACTTGCTTAAATTAGTTAATAAATATTATGTAGTAAGAATTCATTTTGTAGAAAGTGCCAAGTGCAGCCAAGTGTTTTGGAAACTGGTGATTTCTTTACCTGACCCTGACTACATACAAACAAACCACCAAGATCAAAGTCTAAGTCATCTCACTAAATGGCTGAAGGCCAAATTCTCTAGAGGGCCCCCAAATCTGACCAACATTCTTTAGTACAGGTAAATCTAACCACTTAAGCAATATGTATTTGAAAGATAAAATTTGATAATTGAATGAGAACAATAGCCTAGAAAATCTAATATTTCACTAAAAGAACTTGAAGAATTAAAAAGAGATAAAATTATTTTTATATCAGTTTTGTTTGTTACTAGTATTTATATCAGCGATATTTGTTCTTTGGGTTACTTTTAAACTGATAACACGAGTAGTCACCAATGGACTGTATCCATAATACAGTTTTACAAAAATGATATTATTCAATTATTCTATTTCCCACTTGAAAAGTGGTAGGTTATAAAGTGATCGGGCTGTCCGTCTAGCTATATACCCATCCGTCTGTCTGTACGTCCGTCCGTCTGTCATTATGCTTTGGGGTACCCATCTCTTATCCGCAACTTGGTTGTTCAACAAAGATATTTTAACTCAGCCTTTACACATATAATATACACTTTATATATCAAACTCGACTCTGAACAAACCTGTACTCGGTGTTTACAAAAGCTTTAAAGTGTGTACCTGTCAGTGATTTCTTTCATCACAGAACCCCAACTTCAGCATTCAGCTTCATATGCTGCATATATCTATTATTTGACATTCACAGGATGAAAATCCACCATTCAGTCGACTGAATGGTGGCTGAATGGCCACTGAATGGTCACTGAAAGGTCACTGAAAAGACCCTTTCCCGTGACTTTTCCGTGATCATTCAGTTACCATTCAGTCGACTGAATGGCACATACATTTCAGTGACCTTTCCGTGATCATTCAGTTGAATCTTTTTATTGAATAATCGGCTTATTTTTTTACCTAAAAATTTTATTTCACTTTTTCCTGGTATAATAGCATTAAACGCATCTAATTCCGAATAAAAAAAATAGGAAAAAAATTAATACAAGAAAAAAAAATCCTCCCATGCCCAGAATCGAACCCTGGTCTCCTGCTCAGGTGTCCGCGACCTTATCAATTACGCTACGACTTCTTGTTCAGAAATGAGGATTTAAAATCAATTAATTTATAGAAATCGATGGAACAATCAGTTCACCTGTTGTATCGAGGAGCTGCGATGTGTATATATCTTGTATATCTTTTGTATATTCTATGTTAGTTGCGCGGTTTTTGGGGACAGACTAATTAATTACACATCTCCTATCGGGATGATGACAATTATCAGAGACGAGCACCTGTTCCTGTGTCAAAGATTTAAGATCGTTGTAAATTCTCTATCTAGAAACTTAGTAGAATGATTTTATTAAAGCAATATCATTTAGAAAGCTAAAATCTCCTATATATTTTTTTTCTACAACAGGCATGTATAAACGATTTATTTATTCTTGTAATTAAAAATGAATTTAAAATAATGTCTTTCAAAAACTAGATATCCTGCAGTTTTGACAATGACATAATTAAGAAACGAAATTGGTCAGTAATACTTGCCATCTTCCAGAAATGGTTTAAATAATATAAATTCTGTCTCATCAATCAAAACTATATATTTCCATGAAAAAATACACGTATAAGCACTATAGAATGTTATGCATTTATTTAAATTTTGAATCGGTTTTCGGATCATCATTTTTTATCACTTGACGCATTTTTGTTTTCTAAATGTAACTAGAAAATTAAAAATCATTTTGAACAAGTCTCACATATTTTATAAAATTATAATAATTACTTAGACATATTTTAAGGTACCCGAATTTGATCACGATAAGTAAAAAAAAACACACAATCAAGATTGAATAATTAATCTTTATTCAAAATATTGCTTTCTTGTTAAGGAAAAATATCTGATTATAAAATAATACGCTAGTTAAAAAATTGCTAAATTGAGACTTAAATATCACTGAAAGGTGGCGGAAAGGTCACTGAATGACGACAGAAAACTCACTGAAAGTCGACGGAATGGTCACTGAAAGACGACAGAAAGGTCACTGAAAGTTGACGGAAAGGTCACTGAGAGACGACGGAAAGGTCACTGAAAGTTGATGGAAAGGTCACTGAAAGTTGATGGAAAGGCCACTGAAAATTGACGGAAATGTGTCCGCTGAATGGTGACTAAAAGGTATCTGAAATGTGACTGAAAGGCAACTGAGAGGTAACTGAAATGTATGTGCCATTCAGTGGCTGAATGGCCACTAAAAAGTTACTGAAAGCCGCCTTTCAGTTTTAACTGAAAGGTCTTGTTTCTTCCTGTGATTTTCAGATGACGACTCAAATAGTAAAGACATTAAGGCTTTTGATTAATGTTCGAAATTTGACGAGTAACCGAGGACCACAGATAAGCCTTTTTGAGAATTGTCCTTTGATAAAAATATAGATTCTGAATTAAATGTCACTGATTTAGGTAACACATTTTTTGATAATGAGAGTGAAAGTATTACCCATGTCCCCCATAATCAGTTAATCAGAATCTGCAAAGAGTAATTTAGATACAATAGGAGACAGTGTTTATATTATAAGAGACCAATTTTTCACATGAGCATGTTATTCATTAAAAGTACAATAATTATATTGGTTTTTGAAGGAAAACAGTAATTTGAAGATTTGCCCTGAATATTAACAAAAACAATTACATAATACTAGTGCATGTACTTGAATCAGAGAAATGAATAAGTTTAAAAAGTTTTCAACCTATGTACATAACTTATTTTCTGAAACTGCATTACATGTAAAACGGGCATAAGAACATTGATATGTAGTAGAATAATTATACTTTAACACTACTTAGTATATCTTATATAATGTTAAACGTAAATTACCATCACATGAAAATTTTCACAATTATAATACATGTACTACATACTTATCAACTGTTCAACGACCTAAAAATGGCTAAAATCATAACAGTTTGGTATAGATTTTCTCTGAAGGTGAAGTGTCCGCCTGTGTAGATGCATTCACTGTAATCTTGGCGAGAAATTGGGGAACTTCTCCAACTAAATAATGATTCTGGGCACCGAGAAAGTACAAGAAAGAATTTGATGTGGTAAAGAAACAATCGATTAACAGGTTGGAAAGGTCCTACAGTGTACAGATTCCTCAAAGCAGGTCCATTTCCGGACAGAAGAAGGTAGGCGTAGGTCTAGAGGAACAGGTTCCAAAGGCTCATCTTGGGGGTTAACTACAGGAACAAGAACTTTCACAGGAATGGGGTATGGAGTATGAGGCGCACGATCAGGTGACGACTCCCTATCAGGAGTGGTCAATGAATAACAATCATGCAAGTTTTTTTGGAACAAATTCAGGAACATAGGTCTTGGGATACGGAAAGGACATCAGCTTCGCGGTTTATAAGGCGTAACTTCTCCAACCCAGATTATACAGTATAACGTGGGTTGCTATTTAATTCATTCCTTAAATAGCCAATATGTGTTTGTGTCTTGTCTGGGTCCAAGACGTCTCCCAAGTAAATAGAAGCATTCCCTAACAAAAAATCTATAGTTAACTATAGTGATATCTTTGACAATATGAAAACGTTGATTTACTATAGTGATAACTTTGACACTTTGATTTACTAAAGTGATTACTATGAAAACTTTGATTAACCATAGTGATCACTGAGAAAACAATGATTAACTTTGGTAAAACTTTTATTCACTTTAGTGATAACTTTGAGAACATTGATTTACCATAGTGATAACTATGTCACTTTAGTGATCTTTTTGAAAACTTTGATTTACTATAGTGATCATTGTGACACTTTGATTCATTATAGTTAACAATAGTACACTATTGTTAATTGAAGTTTATTTTTGTTTGGGCTATGTCATTAGATATAGGAAAACAATTTACATATGCATGTGTTTTTAAAGAGAGATATTAAAAAATATATTAATCTTAATCGCCATCCCTCTTTCTCTTTCTAAAAAAATCAGAAAAGTAAAAACAAAAATGACCAAAAAACTATGTTTTTAGTTTACTTGATGATCAAACTTTATAAGATAATAAAACATTGACATGCGACTTTACCAACTGATATAAATTTACATGAGATATTTAATTTTTTTCACACTTCCACTGTACTCGGCTACAAATAAGTTGTCATTTCTGTCTACACATAAACCAAAGGGCTCCTTCAAATTACAGTTATCTATATAATGGAGAAACTGTCCGTCCTGGCCTAAGATGTGGATACAGTGGTTATCACCGTCAGCTGCAAGGATCTGACTCTGGCTGTCTGTTGTGATGCCTCGGAGTTTAAATGGTTTGTTCTTTGTAGTAGAAGGATGACCAGTGTATCTAAATCGGAGTTTACCAGTCTGACTGACCACCACTAGAGCACCAGCTCCACAGTCGGCCATACAGATATCCAGGTTTCTGTTCTCACTGATGTATTTAATTTTGTTATTTCCTGAATACAGAGGTTTACCCTCCTCATCATATTGAATTGTTTGTTTTTCTGTGAAGTCTAAGTAACGGACAACTTTGGATTGTTTTTTATCTTCACTGTACATAGAAACCAGGAGATCACTAAAGAAGGTGACACAGAGATTACCAGGTATCCAGCCCTGTAGTCTGATCACCTACTCTGTCTGTTCATTCTTCACTGTATAAATGGTATTCGTCTTCCAGTCACTGTACACTAGATCCCCATCACCAGTTACTGCTATATCATTTGGAAACTCCCCTGATTTTGTTTTGATTGTCTGGATAAGTGAGCCTTGAATGTTGAAGCATTTTATATCACTAACATCACTTGCTCTTGTCCATATTTCTTCTTCATTTAGACAGACAACACTGCGGAGGTTATCATATCCAGTATCGATAGTAGTGATTAGTTCTGGTTCTTTCAGCTGTTCTCTTGTTGGTGTTTCTTGTTTCTTCAGTATGTAACCATTTTCTTCTGTTTTGGTGGATAAGTGTGTTAAAGATCCAAATAATTTATGAAGATGTTCTGTATCTTTTGACTTTGGACTAAACACAGGCAGTGATATCTCCACTTTAGGAGGAAGTTTGCGTAATTCTTTGATTGTAGAAATGTATTCAATAGTCATAAACACTTCAATTGATCCAGATATTCTATTTAACTGAAGCAAATTATTCTCAATTTCATATTCTAACTCTTTAATTTCATCTAAAAGTCTCCTCAGAATTCTCAAATGTTTGATTTTTATCTCATCAATTTCTGTTTTTATTTTCTTTACAATGTTGTCAATTTCCTTGTGCCATTCTTCTCCATGTTCTGTTACTGCTGTTGAAAGTTTTCCATATTCTCCATCCCGATTAACAATCTGGGTTTTTATATCAGTGGCAATTTCTTCATAGGTTGGAAATATTATGTTTTTTAACTCTTCAGTATCTTTCCCTATGACTTCTCTCTTTGAGTTAAAGATATCCAAAAGAGTTGCAATGTTATGCCCCTTATGTGCATCAGATATAGTACACAAAGAACACATAGGGGTGTTACATTCTTTGCATTGAAATTTACATCTTTTTGTTTCGTGTGTTGTGCACTTGAAATAAATCAAGGTTGATTTTCTTTGTTCGAAAGGGACCACTTTATGTTTGTCATAGTCATCAGAAATATGCTTTACTACACAACGAACACACAGATTGACTTCACATAAATCACAGTACATTTGTACTACAGCTGTTTCACAAAGGTCACAACGGGTGACATTTTGGGCACTGGTACTAGGATCCATGTCCAAATCTAAAATTAGAATGATATGTCTTATCAATAAATTATCAAGGAAAACGAAAGTATCTAAATTCTATGAGTTTTTATTTGCTGGGCTTTTACTGCAAGCATCGTCCTGGCTGTAGGGATCATGATCGACTGCCTTACTATAAATAGCACAGTGTAGAAAAGTAAACTAAAAGCCAAACAACGTCAAAGCAGACGGTTCTGATATACATAATAGTCACATTAATTGCGAGACGATATTGAAACAAATATCTTTAACAACTCAATATTTGTAATTGTTAATGATCAATATTTTTGCTTGAGAATTAAATTGACTGCCGTCACGAGAAAAGGGCCCTTAAGGTCAAATTTTCATAAATCTACTTTTTGGTAAATTTTGATAACCGAACTCTTTCTGAATGCAAATATACATAAATTTTAATAAATATCTCACTTTTTCAGTATTTTATAGGCATTTTAGTAAGGCGCGCCTAAATAACTTTGACGTTACTCACTGAAAACGTAGTGACTCGACTGCGACTAATTCAATTTCCAAAAATTCTTAAAATAACGCTATATAAATAACTCAATCGTTTTGAGAATTATAAACTTCAGAAAATATTTTTTCCCCGGCGACTAGTATGTGACTATTTCTAAGAGATTTCATATGTTATTACTATTTTCATACTATTTTAGAGCAGATCTAGTAATATCGTAAAGGAGGATGTAAGTCTAGACAAAATCTAGGAACGGTTTAATGGGTTTATAATATATTCAGTAAGAAAAATAATACTTGTTTAAATCCATACGAATTATTCTTTTTATATAAATCATACTAAAATAATCTAACTCAATTTATGATATATATATAAAGCACTTGTAACATTTAAACATTAAAAGAAATAGAGAGAGAGAGAGAGAGAGAGAATCCCAGAAGGACACCGCGCGCAAAACGGGGCATCCCCTCGCAAAAAAGCACTTCGATCCCGATATTAAAAAGAAAATTATTTTCTTATCAGTCATCAAAATTCATCATTCACTCACCATCACACACACACGTAACTTTTTTCCCTTTAACTGTTAGGATAGGATCAAAACACCATATATTTTCTGTATCACCGAAAAATGAGAAATAAATGCAGATACGCCAAGATATGTAAACTTGTTTTTAAAATGTTTATTCCGTTTATAAAAAAATATGAATGCATGAATTTAATTCCTGTCCGCTATTTCCATGCAAGCGGATTTTTTAAAGTTTACTTTTTTGAATATTTTATCAAAAATGTTTAAAACACTAAGCTTTAATTGTTTATAATTATTTTCTTCGACTGTCTTAGTTATGGAGTAAAAACAATATAAAGAGGCAAAGGATGTTGACAGAGGATTGTCTTATGAATGGTTTATATACCGTACCTTAAATTGAAACTTTCTTTGAACTTATACCTAACTTTTTTAACTTTTAACTTCTTATTTTTTTTTTTTTTAGTAAATCACACTTAAAATCGGTCACAAATATTTCTACACATTCCTCTTTCACCTTTTTTTTTTTAAATTTTGAGGGCACCTTTTCCGTGTTTCACTTGAACATAACATTTGTATATATTTTTTTTTTACAAGGACCGCTACTATGATCTCAAAAAATGATTTATGTTCATTGTATAACTTGATAAGAGATGGTTAATTGCACCGTTCTTGTCTCTTTTTTTATATATGCACACTAAACGGAGCTAGAATTTTCTGTGCGAAATCATAGTTTCATTACAATTTTGAAGAAATCTATTTGAAATTGAAACTGAATGAATATATTATTACGCAATAAAGGAAGGCCCGTAGGGAGCCATTTTATTTGTGTGTGTGTCGGGGGGGGGGGGGGGGGTTACAGCTATATTTTTTCAGTTGTGGGCACTTTCAACTACAAGATATTTCTTGTCAAGCAAAAAAAATTTTTTACGGCCAGGAAAGGTCATCTATTCATCTTCCTCCGTGACATTGGCTAATTTGACACCTAATAAAAGCTTTTCACATTTCGATGCGATTGTCTTAACCAAAAATGAAATATTACGTCCAACACACGTTTTTTTTGTATGAGGCGATGCGGTAAAGTAAAAATCTGCCGCTCTTATCCATTTTTACTTAGTTATTAGTTCAAAACATAATACTTTATCGATATATCGAAATTAAAATATACAGTGTATATATATATATATGACTTGATTTCGCCTGCCCCCCCCCCCCCCAACTCTGTGACGTAGCATCCTTTGAAAAGAGTGTGGGGGATAGCCAGAATAAAAATTCATTTTACCATAAAACTAATGTGTCAACTACAATGGGGGGATTGTCCAAACTCGAATTCAATTTCGCTTTTTTTTTTTGGGGGGGGGGGGGGGGGGGTTAGTTGGTTAGGTTCTCACTCACTTCTTGCAATATCATTTTTTCTTAATCAAACATAATACACTGCCTTTTGTCCTGTTGTGCACTAATTTGACTATGCTGCAACAAAAAAGGGGAGGGGGGCAACCGGACTTTCAATGTAGCCCCCCCCCCTCCCCGATGCTACTTGCGTGCGACTGTAATATAGACAGTATTTGTCGTTCAATGCAAAAATATTTGAGCTTGTTTATTAATTCCTTTCCTTAGCTATAGAGTCATTTTAGGATTATGATATAAACTTCAGTATTTCGATTTCAACGGTAATTTAATGAATGTCGAGATATGCGGGGTATCTACATACCTATAAATGTATCAGAGTTGAAGATTTCAGCGTAAAACGAGACTTACGTATTTACTTCATATCATGAATTCCGTAGTCAGTGAAATCTTTTTAATGATTTTATTTTAACCTTTAGTATTAAGTACGAAAGCCTACAAGGGTCAAATTAGAAAATGAAGAAAAAAAATTAAGTCGTAATAACGACTTTTTATCTCGTAATAACGACTTTTTATCTCGTTATTATGACTTTCTTAAGTCGTAATAACGACTTTTTATCTCGTTATTACGACTTTCTTAAGTCGTAATAACGACTTTTTATCTCGTAATAACGACTTTTTATCTCGTAATTACGACTTTCTTAAGTCGTAATAACGACTTTTTATCTCGTAATAACGACTTTTTATCTCGTTATTACGAATTTCTTAAGTCGTAATAACGACTTTTTATCTCGTAATAACGACGTTTCATCTCGTAATAACGACTTTCTTAAGTCGTAATAACGACTTTTTATCTCGTAATAACGACTTTCTTAAGTCGTAATAACGACTTTTTATCTCGTAATAACGACTTTTTATCTCGTAATAACGACTTTCTTAAGTCGTAATAACGACTTTTTATCTCGTAATAACGACTTTTTATCTCGTTATTACGACTTTCTTTAGTCGTAATAACGACTTTTTATTTATTTTTTTTTTTCATTTGAAATATTTTTTTTTAACTTGATCCTTCTAGGAGAGAAAACGGAAACGTGCCCGGTATAACGGTGTCGTGTAGCTGAAAACGCGATGATTGTTTAGTTATAAAATTGTCAAAAACAGTTGCACCAGAGTTTGACAATTTATTTATGACAAAAATCTGTAATTATTGACAACATTTGGACGTGTTTTGTTTACACACTTATAATCTAAATCAAAATGCCGCTAAATTGAAGACTTTAGTGTTGCACATCGCAAAAATCATTTCAAAATATTACTAGTAAATATAATACATAAGCGCGTGTCGAAAGCAAACTAAAGTGGGGGGGGGGGGGGGGGGCAAAACCAACAAAAAATGTTTGGGGGCTACTCAGTAAGCCCCAATTATTAATGCCTATGTAGACTATATAATGTATTTCTTTGCAAAAAAGGGGTTTAAATTGTTGTTCAAGTGTTCTTCGTTCACAGACAAAAACTTTGAAAATATCAACGTGAAAGTCTATGTTATATATAACCAAATTACCATATATATAGTTATGTTTAAGAAAATAATAGGGAAGTCTCCACCCCCGCCCTGCAACGTTAACGTGCCTAATAAGCAGATGATACTCATTTTATTTTGTCAGTTTGATGTATAAATCAACTTCACGAAGCGGTCATAAGTTTCCAGAATACGGAAAGGTCAAAAATAGCAAACCATTGAAAATATACTTAAAAAAGAAATTCGTAATAACGAGATAAAAAGTCGTTATTACGACTTAAGAAAGTCGTTATTACGAGATAAAAAGTCGTTATTACGACTTGAGAAAGTCGTAATAACGAGATAAAAAGTCGTTATTACGAGATAAAAAGTCGTTAATACGACTCAAGAAAGTCGTAATAACGAGATAAAAAGTCGTTATTACGAGATAAAAAGTCGTTAATACGACTTAAGAAAGTCGTAATAACGAGATAAAAAGTCGTTATTACGAGATAAAAAGTCGTTATTACGAGATAAAGAGTCATAATAACGAGATAAAAAGTCGTTATTACGAGATAAAAAGTCGTTATTACGACTTAAGAAAGTCGTTATTACGAAATAAAAAGTCGTAATAACGAGATAAAAAGTCGTTATTACGACTTAAGAAAGTCGTTATTACGAGATAAAAAGTCGTTATTACGAGATAAAAAGTCGTAATAACGAGATTAAAAGTCGTTATTACGAGATAAAAAGTCGTTATTACGACTTAAGTAAGTCGTTATTACGAGATAAAAAGTCGTAATAACGAGATAAAAAGTCGTTATTACGAGATAAAAAGTCGATAAAAAGTCGTTATTACGACTTAAGAAAGTCGTTATTACGAGATAAAAAGTCGTAATAACGAGATAAAAAGTCGTAATAACGAGATAAAAAGTCGTTATTA